TGCAAAAGGATCTACACAAGCAAAGGGGTCAAATTACCATGTTTTTTCACCAATTGCAAATTGGTTACAACATGACTTCTCCTTGTAGTGACAATTCATTGTCATTGGCCTCTTTATGAAGTAGATGTAAAAAATGCTTTCCTCCATGACCCTCTCCATGAAGAAGTCTACATAAAATTACTTTCGGGCCATCCACGGCAAAGGAATAAGAACCTTGTTTCTCACTTTTATAAATCACTCTATAGTCTCAAACAAGATGCACAGATGGTTTGCTGCTTCCTCCACCTTCTTATCTCTTGGTTTTGTTCAATCTAGTGCCAAGCACTTCTCTTTTTCATTATCATCTTGGTCTCATCTTCTGTCTTCACTGTTCAGCTTGTTATATGTCCACGATAGTACCATCACAAGGAATGGTGCGAAGCAATTGCACTCCATCAAGACCAAGCTACTTCATCACGCCAAAATAAAAGATATCAGCTTCCTGAAGTACTTCCAAGGTATCAAAACTCCTGATCCCAAGCAGGTGTATACTTACCCAACAGAAGTACATCCTATTAAGTTATTCAGAGCTAACTGGTACTTGGACAGCTGATGCCCATTTAAACGCTTAGAAAAGAATGATGGTAGTCTTCTCCCTGATTCTTCCGCATATCTCTGCTTGATTGGATGGGTTTTTACTTAACAATTGCCCAGCCTGACATTGTAAAACCTTTTGAGTCAGTTTATACAGCAACCCTACTGCCCTCCTGCACTACCTCAAAAGCACACCAGGTCAAGTTTATTCTTACAGTTTATGGATCTCCAATGCTCACAGCCTATATGGACTCTGACTGAGCTAGTTGAGTCCTCAAATGCAATAACCCACCACTAGCTATTGCATCCTTTTTGGCAACAATATGATCTCTTAGAAAACCAAAAAGCAACAGATAGTGTTTTTTTTTTTTATCAGCAGAAGCTGAATATGAAGCCATGGCCTCCACAACTAAAGAGATCACTTGGCTTTGATAAGTCTTTGCTGATGTCGACATCAATCAGAGTACATAAATCTCCTCTATTGTGACGGTCAGTTACATCACCATATAATAGCGAAACTAGTAACCAACAAACAGAGAAAATATATTAAAATTGATGGTCATATAGTTTGCAAGAAATTGCAATCAGGTTTTGTCCAAATTCGACCACCCCACCAATATTGACTCACCAACTTGGGAACATACTTTCCAAATCACTGAACGAAGGACAGTGTTGGACACTCTAGAGCTAACTGTGCTTAGAACTACATTTGGGAACATACTTTCCAAGTCACTGAACAAAGGACAGTGTCAGACACTCTTGAGCTGTGTTTAGAACTACATGAACTTCGTGGGGAGTAATATCAAATAAACACTTATATTACTTTATTGTACTTAAAGTTATATAGACTTGTATAGCTATGGGTTTTATGCAACCTTTTGGCTCAAAGTAAGAAATAAAAGAACAACTTTTAAATTGTCTTCACAGGTTTCCCAAGTTGGGTTTCAATGATAATTAATGTGCAATTTCTCAACAAGTCACTTCCTAATGGTCACTATCTACCCCAACTTTTTCTTGGAAAGCACTATTTGTCCTAACCTTTGGAGTGACCTAAATTTAAACCAAGTAATTCAAAGGAATATAAATCCGTGAAAGGTTAAACCTTTAAATGCACATGGATAAACCATTCCAGTGACAATTCTGGATTTCAATATTGCAAAAACATAAGATATCAGGCTTTGAATAGACAAACAAGGCTACTTTCATGACTTGTCAAAGCCCCAAACAAAATATGTGTTTGTCCTGTGTAATAAAACCTCTTGTAGTAGTGAAGTTTCTACACCCTAAATACTTTTGACAAAAGTCACAAATATAGAAGAATCAGCAAAATTAACTTGTATAAAATACAAAGTAAGTTTACAGTGTAATACTTTATAGTTTGACCTTTTCAACATTCAATAGGTAAGAATATTTCGTGCCATTTCAGTATATTTTGGTGTTTTTATATTTTACATAAACCTTTAGTTTTTAGGCTTTTTTCCCTGCAATATTTTGAATTTTTTTTCCTAAGTTTGATTTCTTTAGCCTTGGAGTTCTACTATATTTTTATAATGACAAATACATAGAGATTTTCTCTAAAAAACTAATGGTATAATGTCGAATGACAAATAGTTGAACCCCAAACACAATACTGTCACAAAAATATCACATATATCAGATGTTAAAAATAAAAATAGAAATAAATAAATAAACCATGGGAGGCTTTACTGCAGCTTACCCTAAAATAAATCAAGAACAGCAATGCTGATGGATAAGATAAGGTACTTTTCCACAGGATATACTTTGCTTGCATTAGCTTCTCATATCAGCATTAATAAAGGACTTCTTATTTCTTATATGATGAAAAAACAACCATCCTGCAACTTATCCTCGTTTGGCTTTTAGCTCTTGATGTATAAAGGTGTGATGTACATTACGGCAAATATCTGAAGTATTGGCACTTCCAATTTCAGACAAGTTAAGACAATAGGAGGAAGAGTTTAATCTAACACAACAAAGAATGGGTGTGAATGATAAGATATGTTACATTGAATTTCTTCTACAAAATCTATAATTCCATATCCTATGTCTCCTTGAATATCAATCTACTCCTTGTCCATTTGGCTCCTGAAACTATTTATCCAAAAGCATAACAAGCCATGAGCATGTAAAGCACCGTACAATAAATATTTGTTGCCTAGAACCTTAACCCAACTTCACTGACTAGGCTCCAGTCTCATAATTCTTTATCATGTTTCTAGGAAGCATCATTTAGTTAAGTACCTGAAAAATAGTCCTGTTAGAAACTTGTTCATGTCAATAATAAGATCAGATCATGACTAAAAAAAGACATAGGAAGCAGAAAACAAAAAGAAAAAGAAACAGTACAGTAGTAGCAGTATGTAGCTCCCCAAAAAGGTCAAGCCCTTCCATTGTTGTATTACATTCTCACTTGTAGGAGCAAACCTTTAACTATTAAAGTCTTTCTCCTACAAGAAAGTCAGATGCAAAATTCAAGTGAAGTTATCAAACTATGATTTGAGGAAACGCCATTTGTTTACTTGAAGCAAACAAAATGTTCACTAAAAAGAAAAAGAGGGAAAAAGAAAGAAAATCAAATTAAAATGTTCACAGGATGTTTGAGCTATGACTTTCTAGTTCATCTTTTCACCTGGAAGACATTTCACTTCTTGCTTAGGTGCTGCTAATTTAATAAGTGACAAAAGGTATACAACAGGATTGCAACTACTATTCCGCAAGAACAACAGCCAAACGCCTTTCTAAGTTAAAACATAGTAAAATCAAATTAAATTGGAAATTAACTAATTCCCCAATATCCGTGGATAATCCACTACATGATCTATATAGCACTTAAAAGCACGAGAACCATGAAGCAAAATAAATTTGATTTTTTCATTTAAAATCGATCTGCCGCAACGATAGATTAAAAACTTGATACAGTGACAAGGAAGAAATGAACAAAGATGGCAACATAGAAATGGAGTTCCTAATCTTATATACAAACCATTAGAAGAAATCTAAGCTGAAGTAGCAGCGAAATCACCACAGGCAGAAGAGAGAATGGTCGATTGTAGCTGAACAACGAGACTATCAGCTTCACTCGCATTTGCCTCTGCACAATTTTTTAAAAAATATGTCATTGTAAAGAATAATAACCAAACCGATAGAGACTTCTCTGTCATCCCAACTTCTGCTCAACCTCGCCTCTCTCTGCCTTTCTATCTCCGACGTATCAGGTCCAACCCAAGTTAGTGGGAGACCTGAGAACAGCAAGGTTCGTTGGCGTTTCATTATAAATTTAATAGAAACGTTTCTCTTTTGGCGGTTAATGAAACGTTGGATTCCAACACAATATATTATTGGAAAAAAAAAACAAGGGAAAGTACGAATTTTAAGAAACTGTTTATTTATTTCTTAAAAATTAAATAATAAATTAATTAACTGAATAAATTACAATATATATTAATTAAATAAATAGATATATTATAATGGCTTCGGAAATTTAAATAAAATGTATGTATTAAAAATCTCAAATGCGGAAGCGTAATAAAAATTTTGATTAACATTCCTTACACAATAAGCAAAACGTATTCAAAACATGAAAAAACAAACTAATTAAAAGAGATACTCGAAATAAGAACTATAAATATAACTATGAAGTCTTTAGGCATCCCCTTCGC